CCCCCCCCCTTCCCCTACCCGGCGGTCCCAGCCACTCGGGAGCGTCTGTCACGCCCGACAACCACATCAACACACCTCCGACACGTGCGGCGGCGTCGGGAGATAGCGGGGGTACGTACACACCCGGTACACCTGTAACCTCTGGCGGGGGGTGGGGCGAGTTTGGGTGGGTCGCGGCGAGGCAAGGCGAGGCGCTGGCCGGCAGTGCCAATGCTCGCGATGCACACAACCAGCACTTGTTGTTGGGGACAGACAGACAGACAGGTTCGTATGGGTACTCTTGGCAACTGCCTGCGGGTTGGGGGGGCTGGCTGTACGTACAGTGTTGTACACCCGACCCAGACAGCGCTATACTTTGTAGTCGCGCAAAGTGGGCGTGCGTTATCGTGTGCTGATGGGGTACACTCCGACTAGACAAGACTAGGCCGGGGGGGGGGGGGGGGTACGGGCCACGTGCGAGTGTTGGCCGGGTTGAGCGTCCATGGCAACAAAGAAGTAGTCCGCCTAGTCACCACCACCACCAGAGTGCGGCTATCACTGTACTTAGTGTGGGCTACGTTTTCCACCGAGCAGCAGAGGGCAGGGCACCGCCCATATGTCCTCCACTCGCGGGTGGTGCGTACCGCAGAGTCCCCCCACCCCCACCACGACTACTATTGCACTACTTTGTTGTGTTTTGATCTCTGACAGCGGGACTGCTGCTGCTGCTGCAAGCGCGCGCTATTTCAAATGCAGGCAAGAAAGCCCGCGCGCGCAATCTGCTCGGCCCATCTGCAGCAAAGTCCGCCGTGTGGAATCTGCAGCCCTCGCGGTGGTGGTGGTGGAGGAGGAGGGGGAGATGGTGGTGGTGGTCGCGGAGAAAACATAAATACAAGACCGCGAACGCGGCGCGACCTGGGGGCGCTCAACGCACATTAAGTGCGCATTGTCTGCGGGTGCATGGAGAGGGAAGAGAGATGCCGCCGCGACTTGCCTTGTTTCTGTCTGTCTCTTTATTTTCGCCGCCGCCCAGAGGTTGGCGGCGCTGATAAGCAGAGCCGCAAGAGCATCAGGAGACACGCGGGATGAGATGCCCGTCTCTCTGTCTCTCTCTCTCTCTCTCAGCAGCACGGGCTGCCCGGCTGCCGATAAAACCATAAAACCACTCTACAATGTCATTTACTCATCGCTCGCTCACTCGCTCACTTGGTCACTCGCTCACTACCTCACTCGCTTACTTGCTTACTCGCTCACTCGCTCACTTGGTCACTCGCTCACTCACTCACTCGCTCACTTGGTCACTCGCTCACTCACTCGCTCACTCACTCACTTCTTCCACTACTTGGCACCACCTATATGGAAACTGGAGGGCGAAGAGGGGTGGCGGGACGACAGAGCAGCAGATAGAGGGCGATAGTCAGCGAAGCCGTGCTCTTGAGAATGCGGGGCATTGGAGGTAATCGCTCCCCTCCCTCTCTGTCTCTCTCTCCCTCTCTCTCTCTCAATCTCTCTATCGACGGGCCACTCACTCGTCCGCGTCGTAGGGCAGACAACAGACACTGTTGCAAAAAGTGGGATGATGGATCGCAGCCTATCATGTAACCATCTGCGGAAAATGTTTGTGGAGAGAGTATGGCGTGGCACTGCCTCGGTTCCCTTCGAGCCCTGTAAGGGGG